TTGGGGAATCAGTCTTTCACTCTAGGACTAGATGATGTAGATTTCTGATCTCTATAAACTATCCCATTTCCTCAACTCGTTACCATATGCTACAGATTTTTCTCGTCTGCTCGCGACTTTTGAAAAGGAATGTGTACAATCGGGCCATCTCCACTGAATACTCCAGCAGTAGATAATACTCCAGAATACTTGAGGAAATGGGACCTTAATGTTTAATTGTCTCCTGACCAGGTAGCAAGATTATACATTTTACCTTTAAGTCCTCAATTCATACGCGAGTTCAGGATTTAAGCTCCTAATTCGATGATACAGAAACCCTCAGATCCTACATTCAATGTTTCCTTCTTTTCTGAATTGTTGCTGCAGTTGCAATGAATCACCTGGTGATATACTTCATATCTTTTGGTCTGGAAATATTATTAACCACTTCAAGACCAGGTGTTTAGACCCCCTTCCTGGCCAGGCCATTTTTCAGTGTTCAGCATAAATTCTTCCACACCTACTGAATGCAGCCAGGTGCTGTTTTTCAGAACTGTGGAAGACGAACAGGACACCCTCGGTCTCCATGTGGCTTCATAAAGTTGGAGAGGTGGAACGAATGGAAGATTTGGTCTGGTTTAGTAGCGGTCTTCATGCCAAACACTAAGACGTAGTTCTGTTGGACCGAATTTACTAGCTATGTACGTAATTCAGACGTTTGAATTTCCCACTTTATTACAGGATGCCCCTCCTTGAGGTAGTGGAGTATTTTCTATTACCGTACCTGGTGCCCGGGGGTCGGATCAGAACTTAACAATGTCCATACTCCTTTTATCTCATTTTACTATTCCTAGTATGTTTTTCTTTTGTTCCACTCTTCCTTACTCTGTTATATCTGGTCTACTTCTCTAATATGCAAAACAAATGACAAACGCACTCAACAATTTGTCACCAGTTATACAGTAAGGTGCACACGAAATGGGCTTTGAACAGTAAAACAGTAGAAAGGTATCATGGCACACTCACAAACCAGCATGTAAAACAACTTGTCTCACCACTAAGGTTAATAACAGAGGTTTGGATACACGTCTTCTGCTCAAACTAAACTCAAAGCCCATTTCGTGTGCACCTTACTGTATAACTGGTGACAAATTGTTGAGTGCGTTTGTCATTTGTTTTGCTTGACTGATTTGGTGCAGTGACGCATGGGGGTTCTCAGCTGCCATTGGGATGTGCGGGATCCCTTGTGTGTTTCTGTGCCGTTAAGGAGGTTGGGCTTCATCCTGACAAACCTGCCCACAATTTGAAATCTTCTGCCCCCATGTGCTCCAAGATGGAGACTCTCATAGTTTAGAGTTAGGACCGCACTATAAGAGGTGCCTTGGCGCGGCTGTGCGGCTTTCACATTTTCTGCAGAAGACGTGTATCCAAACCTCTGTTATTAACCTTAGTGGTGGGACAAGTTGTTTTACATGCTGGTTTGTGAGTGTGCCATGATACCTTTCTACTGTTTTACTTCTCTAATATACCACATGCACTCGGGTGGGAACTAGGGATGTCCCGGTACCGATGCTAGCATCGGTATCGGGCCCGATACAGGGCATTTTGACAAGTACTTGTCAAAATGCCCCGATGCCTAGCGCCGAAGCTTGCGCTTTGGGTTTTTTTTTCTTACTTACCTCGCCGAGCGTCCCGTCACTGTTGCTCCGGTGGGCGGAGCTCCAGGTGGGGTCCTAATTTAGGTGGCCGGAGGCTGCCAGATGACCCCGCTCAGAGCGCCGCCCAATGGAGCAGCAGTGACGCTGTTGTGGAAATTTTATTAGGATGTGTTTTTAGTGTATTGTAATGTTTTGTCATTAGTCTCTCAGTGTCTCAATAAATAGACGCTGGGGGATTAATCCATTGGAGGAAATTTCTTATGCGCAGCGGAGCAGTGTGTTCTTGGCGAGTGTATGGACGCCGGCTGGGGCCCCCCGTGCAATCCATGGATTTATTGGCTTGCGTGGATACATTCGTCTTGAACGCAGTATATGAAAGGAACGTGCGTTTGTTCTCTCTGGGGTGCCTGATCAACACGCTTGAGATGATATAACGTTGTCCCTGTGAATGAGCGCGCATGAGAATCCTAGTAACGTTATGTGGCATTGCTCACTGAGCAATGCTGGATAAAGTCACTCAGGTGGTCATAGATTGTTACTACATGTGATTTGTTAGCTGACTCCTGTTCACTTCCTGTCTGACATCACTTCCTGTCTCGCTGTTTGAGACACCCTTCCTGTCTGACATCACTTCCTGTTGGGCAGGTATAAACATACCTGTGCTCAGGTCTCTTAGCATGGGATTAACGAACAAGCAACATCTGTCTCCTGACTCTACATGACTCTATATAGGGAGATACTTCCAGTCCTTGCATAAAGGAGCGTAGTACAACGGGGGGAATTCTTTGCGTTTGGCGCAGCTTAATGCGACATGGATTTGTGCGTTGAACCAAGTGAATTTCCATAACAACGCGACACTCGGCGAGGTAATTAAGAAAAAAAAAGCCGAGGAGAGTCAGCGCTGGTCTGGCAAGAGGAGCTACAGGTGGGATTCTAATTTAGCTGGCCAGCACCTCTGAGCCAGCTAAATTAGAGCCCCACCTGGAGCTCCTCCCACCGGACCAGCGCTGACTCATCGCTGCTCTCTCCTCCGGCA